TCAACAGCATCAGAGCTATGTGACTCAATGGCAGAACAAAAGTCAAATCGGAGGAGAAAATAGGCCTGGGACGAGGAGCGCCCTGATATTTTTCTCTGTTGTCGTCAATTGTTTAGCTCAGAAGCCTGCTACCTCTCAGGGGAAGAGGATCAGAATTTTAGAAAAATGTTCTGGAGTCAGCTGCCTTATAAGGAATCGATGGCGAGAATGTCCGAAGTATACTCGGAATGATTCGGTAAAAGAGACTAGAACTCGGATATAGAACAAGGACAGAAATGAGCTCAGATAATCAAGAGATTATCTGATTTCCTAGACGGAGAACACGAGAATTGATTGGTTGCCCGGTAGATGGCGGTCGTGCCCTGGGGACTCTGACGACCTTTGTAAGAAGATCCTGGATATGGCGGAAAAATGCCGTGGGGATATTCCAAGTCGAATATGTTGTCAGGCAAGTTGAGCTCATTACGGACTTGTTCAACAAAAACAGTTGCAGCTTGATTTAAGCATTCAAAGACGAATGTGATGTCAGGCTGGCCAAACTGTAAGAAATTTACTAGATATAGATATAGGCAGAGATACCAACAGGGCTAAGTGACTCAGTGTCAGAACGAAAGTCTACCGAATCGGAGGAGAAAAGCCTGGGATCAAGACGAGGAGCGCCCTGATATTTTTCTCTGATGTCAATTGTTTACAATCTTATTACGAATATACTGTAAAATATGAATCTCCTCCCAAAAGCGCATGAGGAATTTAGTCACGCGGAATACTGGAACACATTCTTCAAAAAGCGTGGCAAGAAGGCGTTCGAATGGTAAACATTCTATATTTATGTTAATAATGTTATGTTATATTTTTTTTAGTAACTTAATGTTTATTCATTTTGTTTGGCTTTAGGTACGGTGAATATCCAGAATTATGTGAAATACTTGTGAAGTATATCAAAATGAAAGATGACATTCTGATCGTTGGTTGCGGGAATTCTACATTAAGCATGGCTTTGTATGATGTTGGTTACAGGTACAATTTCTTTTGTGTGTGTTTATTTATATAAATCATAGTTTCTAATAGTCACAGTCAATACTTAATGGCAAGTTTAGTCACTTGTATTACATTAGATTAATGTATTAAAAGCTGCTGTACATGAAATTAGTACAGTGGAATAAAAGTATATACATATTCAACAATTAAATACTCAATATAAATATTGCCATGTTTAACAAAATATTAGTAGAATATATATATGTACTATTTCATTGTCAAAGTTGATTAGACATGTTACTGCATTTAGATACTTTATATAAAGCAGCCTTTAATATGTACTAATCCAGTATAATATACAAGTTATCAAATTCAGTTTTCAAGTTCCTATGGAAAATAAATCAATTGATATTACAGAAATATAGTCAATATTGATATATCACATATTGTGATCCAACAAATGCTTGATATAAATAATGGTACAAGACCAGATCTAGTATACGAACATATGGATGCCACACAAATGACATATCCTGATGGAAAATTTAGTGTAGTTCTCGACAAAGGTACATTGGATGCTCTAATGCCAGATACCAAAGAAGCAACATTGTCTATAATTGATAAATATTTCAAAGTAAGTTTCTGATTAGAGAAATCACTAGAAAAATTTTTTTCAATAATAACTAAATTAATTAAAATTTATTTTAGGAAATCACACGAGTGTTACGGAATGGAGGCAGATACATCTGTATATCGTTGCTTCAAGAGCACATCCTACGAAAGCTTTTATCATACTTTCCTACTTCAGGCTTCATGTTTCGTATAGCACGATGTCACGAAGCCGAGTTGAAAGCACGTATAGAAGAAGGCAGTTCAGTTCCTGTCTTTGTGATCATTGCTACAAAATTTACTAAATTATCCCAGAACGTATGTTGTAACAAAAGATCTTTAGAATTTTTATATTGTCTTAGCTAGATGAGCAAGTTAGTCAAATTTATTTTTGTAGATTATAATCCTGATAGGTTCTCGAGATAGCTCTGATCGATGGCCCACCGGAACGATTATCTACAACAGATGATGTGATATCCGCTATATTATCTGCACAACAATCGGCACTAGTGTGCAATAGTCTTTACAAGAGAAGCGTTGCTGATGTGGGAGAAGTGTCGTTGGATTTACATCGTTCAGGTGATAAGCATCCACGATACACCGTCTATGTTCTTGACCAACCACGCATACAGGGGGCAAAGACATATGCAGCTTTCATTGTGCCACAGGGAAAGTACGTTTGATTTATTAGTTGAATGTTTTACTATTGAGTTATTGTCACTATATATTTTTCTTTCTTGGTTTAACAGGGAAACAGATTGGTTGTTCAGTACAAAAGAAGGACGACAACAAGTTCTAAAAAGCGCGCAGCGAGATAGACTCGCAATTGTTACCTTACGTAGAGAACACAAGTTTGATAATTGGGATGCTGTGAAAACAGAATTAGAAAATTGCATTCTTAATTTAGCACCGGCTGGCTTGTGTGGCAAAAATGATATTCCTTTTCTTTCTTTGGGTTCAGATGTTGGGGTTCGAAATATTTGCTATGAAGGAAAAAGTGACATCAGTGGATCGTTTGTTATCGAAGAAGTAGAGAAGGATGGTCACGAATTCAGGCGGCTTGTGTTTCTGAATAATCCTTACGTCATTCAGAGTGAAGCCAGACTAAAAGACGGTACTAATTTATAATCAATTCGGAAATTCTATGATAATGACAATGATTGATTGCATACAATTATGACAATTATTTACAGCAAAATCTAGACGTGGTAAAACGAAGAAAATTGCCGATCCTGGATTCTTAGCTTGTGAACATCATATATATATGAGCACTGGAGTAAATGCAGTAATCGATTTAAAAGAACAAGACAATATTATGATTATAGGACTTGGAGGTGGTGGTCTTTGCATGTTCTTACATCAATGTTTTCCTAAAGTATGTATCTTTGGATAGAATTCATTAAATCATTAGAAACCTTTTTCGTAACATAAATCGAAAATTTTAATTTTTTTCAGCTAAAAATTACTGCAGTCGAAATTGATAATACTATGTTAAAAGTAGCTACTGAATACTTCAATCTCGTTCTTGATGATCGGATGAAAGTGGAGATCGCAGATGGAATTCAATATATTAAAGACGTTGCGGCATCCGAGACAAAGTATAAGGCAATACTTTTCGATATCGATAGCAAAGATACCACCATCGGAATGAATTGTCCACCTAAACAATTTCTCGAAATGTCAGTGCTGAAAGCAGTTGCCTCATGTTTAATGAAGAACGGTCTTTTTCTCTTGAATTTAGTCAGCAGAGACAAAAGTCTAAAACAAAAAGTTAAAGATGATCTGAAATCGGTATTCCAATCAATTACTTGTCATAATATTCAAGATGAAATTAATGAAATTGTTATGTGTTCTGTTGAAAAACACAATGCGAAAGAATGGAAAAATAGACTTAGACTCGCAGCCATTGACTTAAACAAACAAGCAACTGCGAGAAAATTGTCCTCTTTCAATGAATCATTTGACGATTCTACACTTTTAGAAAATTTATCTACGGAATTATAACGCTTTGTACAAATATATTCGTCGTGACAAATAAAATAAAAAATATAATTTCTAATGTTGATTAATATGTATCTTTCAAAATATCTTTGTCAATATACTACTTTTCAATGAAAATATTTTTTGTAACTTATCAAATCAATATCAAAAATCAAATGATTTTGAATGTACAATAATTCAAATACTAATTTTATATAATACAATTTTCATAAATTATCTGAAATTAAAATAAAGATTAATTCGATTGATACAATGCGTAGCAGCAGAGTTGTAAAATTTGTTGAATTGTAAAACAGAAATTTATGAAAATTAAAGCAAGATTAAAATTCATATTTCAAAAAATAATTATCACGATTTTAAATTTACATATTTCGAGATATCTTATAAAATAATTATACAATTTCTTTAAAAAAAAGAGAATTTTTATTTCTTATGTTTAACATATTGTATTTCTTTGAAGTACAATCGTTTAAAAAAT